TTAACTCACAATCAGTCTTACATTCAATTTAATCCGACTCCGTTTCGGGGACTTCAGACAAAACGAAAGCATTTTTCTCTCCGCTAGGTGGCGCTAGTGTCGGTAAAGAGCCTGCTGTTGTTAAAAACGCCTTTTTCTGTTAAATTTTTAATATTTCCAACCCGAAATAGCTATTACTTTATTGGCTATGACGAAACACACGCTCTCATACCAAATTTATATCTGTAGCAAACGCGCGAGTTTAACAATTGACATTTGAAGTCACCTCTCGCGGTTGGCTCCGTGCCGTCGTTTCCTAGGGTGCGTCAGGCCAGCTCCAGATGAGTGCAGGGAAGAGTCCCACATCGGGGACATTTCCCTACACTCCACTTTTTACCTAGACGGTTCCTTGGAGAACGTCTCTCCTATGAGGTTCGGATGCAAACATTATCATTTCACCGAGTTACGGGAAAATTTCCTGCTGCCACTTTCAGACAAAAAAATCTAGTAATTGAGACAATTTTGTCTGAATTTTTCAGACAACGACCTGCCTGAAAGGTTAAGACTTGTGTAAGTCTGAAAATTTCAGACCAGGATTTAGTCTGAATTTTCAGTAGGATGTTCTGCATATTTACTTCAGTCAAAAAAGTCTGAATTTTCAGCAAAAATTTTTAACAGTGCAGGCTTCGCTATCGCTCAGCCAATAAGCATCCAATATTTCCATAACGGTGCATTACACATTCAAACGAACGTGACAGTACATGGGTGTCACATTCGTTCGAATGTGACACGACATGTGTACTTGGGTAGCATGTGTCACATACGTTTTAATGTGACAGTTCGACAGCTGATTGCGTGTCACACCCGAAGTAATGTGACAAAGCGGTGCGGTGTGCCACATTCGTTTGAATGTTGATTTTCACCGTTTGTCACGCTCAAACTAACATCGCCGTTTTCACGTGAAAACAAACGTGACGTCACATTCCTTGGCTACCAGTGCCGTTATGGAAATATTGAATGCTTATCAATTTTCCAAAGAGGAAGTGATGGTTTGTGGTGTTTGTAGCGGTGAAGTCCGCTAGCAGACGACAGATGTTGTGGTTGCGTAAATTCTCATATCGACTAACGTAGCCTCAACCGTGGATTTCAGAGCAGCACTTAATTTGTCATACCAGGCCATTAGCCTCGTGTCAATGAGTTCAATAAATCCACGTCGGTGATCATCCAGCTTGACACAGCCCAAATCCACATAAGCTTGCCGCTGCTCGGGCGTCGCTACGGAGCATGATCGTCCTTCCGGACAATTTCTATATTATTTTCATTATTTTTTATTTTTTGGAATAATTACCAGTAATTTGTAATAATTTTACATAATTTTACAATTTTACTGAGGCCATCTCAAATAGTCCTCGGTAGTATCGTCAGTGTCTTTTGGAAACGATAGAATTTTAATTAATGAACCAATTTTATGAGATATTATGGTTAGAGGCATTACCCGTGTAAACGTGAGGTGGGAGACGAAAATCTGACAGGTCTATTTAATAAACACGAGGATGTAATCTTATGAATCAATTTAGAATATACTTCCTGTTTTTATGATAATTTTACTATTATTTGAATCTAATGATAATAATAACAACACTACATGAAGTGCTACAAGTGTCGTCTGATGAGTCCAAGTCTTGTTGTCGAAAACGGCCACCAGAGCGCGTTACCCGAGCGTCATCCCCGAGGTTTCACATCCGGTCGCATCCCTGCAAAATCGGACATTAGTCAAAGCAGAGGCGGCACTGCTCATCTTGCCCCTCTGCCGAACTGGAAGCAGCTGCCCTTGCATCGGCATTCGCAGCCTGTTATTTCAACTTCATCCATGAATCCTTCGGGCAGCTCTTGCTCTTCTTCATTTCCTTCACTACTCGATGAAGCGGACGGAACATTCCCAGCACCCCTGCCGCGACCACGCCTACCGCGACCACCCCTCATGTCTGTCGACGGTTATGTCTATCAAATATTATGCCTGTCAAATGTTATGTCTGTCAACGGTTATATGAATATGCGATTTGGTTATTTCTGTAAAATGGTTTGTCTGTAGCAATTTTAATTTTAATTTAAATAATAAATGCTTTTTATTTCAGAAATATATCCGTTATTTCTGTCGCCAGTTATGTGGATTTACAGTTATGTGGGTCAAAAGTTATGTCTGTCAACAGCAACTCAGTAAGTCGTGCAGTTATGACTTCAGTCGTACATTTACGAATCTTGTCGTAAATTTGTGTAAAGAATCGTAAATGAACGACACAAATCGTAAGTAAGCGAGCAAAATTGCAACTTTTCATCAACTTTACGGGGATTTCAGATTTCAAAATATGTAATCGCGATTACGACATTGTCGTAGAGAAACGATCATTTTGTCGTTCAGTTACGACCAAGTAGTTTCAGAACGATTCTTGTCGCTATCAAAATTAGCGACATTTTTGTCCCTAATTTACGACAAAATTTCTGACAGTGTATCTGATCTTGCTTTCGTATAAAAAGCAACGCTGTGTGCGCGACTTTCAACCGTTCCCGGAGCAACGGATTCGAAGACGAACCAATGTCGATTCGAAAATTTCGAATATTCGGGGTCGAAGCAAAGAAATCCGTCCCAAAATCGAAACGAATCAGCCCTGATTCGATTCGATACCGAACTATTCGCACATCCCTACTCCGAGCCGAGCCCCCTGGTCACCGCACTTCCGACGCCACTGTTTGATTGTGTCCCTAAACTTGGGAAGATGGCACGGAAGTTACCGAAAATGTGCATGGCACGGAAGTTACATCATCAAACAAACCATGAAAATGGACCAACCCGTTCACCAAAGCGAACTGGTGTCTCGCCTGATGTTTAAAAGACGTAAAAGCGCAAAATGGCCAAGTGGACCGAAATTGACAGGCCGAGTAGCAAGCTGGCTATTGATGACACGGAATGGTACCCGTAAACCTGCCATATGCCGGATTTTACCGGATACTTTATATGGTCCAGCCAGCTGGAATGGAGCCCTGCAGCGAAAATCCGCCTACCACCGGAAAGAGGGAACCACGGAGTTGATTCTGGACGTTGACCTGAACTTTTTCCACGACAGGTTCGGCGCTGAGGCGGGGAACTCAAACTGACATAGTTTGAAAACTATTACTTGGTGGGGAAATCACTGGGAATTTCGGTGTGCTAATCAAATACATTTTCGGCAAAAGCTTCTGAATTTTGAGAAGACGTTCGACAAAATTTTAACAAATTAAGGTAAATTTCAATTTTTCTGTGAAGTTTGTTGTTTAAATATGGCTGGAGTCACATTCCCTTTTCTGGATCTGCCCCTGCCAATCTATGTATTCTCGTACCGCGATGGTGACGAAACAGCACGCTCTTCTGCTCGCTTGGGGTGTTCCCCAGACTGTCTCATGGCACGTGCATGCGCTTTAAGTCCGTCAGAATGAAACACATTTTGGACGACAATCAGTCTAGTGGCGTAGCGTGCACAGAAAATCCAACAGGGCGAAAAAGGTTTTGGACACTTGATCCACGAAGCAGAAGAAGGGGTTAAGTCGAGTTGAATCCGTGCACTTTTGCAAGGCCTAAACCTTGCAGGTGGGAGAACAGGTGGGAAATTTCATCTAAAAATAGATGCAAGAGGATGGAACTTGTCTCACCAGACTTATTTTTGGACCAAATTTTCGCTCACGAAGCTAGACTCATAAGAGGTCACTGAATCAACTCGACTTTAGGCCAGGGACAGGTGAAAAAATGATCTCAGAAACTGCCGGTCCAAAACTTCTTGTTATCTGTCAAAATCTTACTCCTAATGGAAAACTATTTCACCCAAAATCCCATCCCATAATATCAAGCAGTTCCTGAGATACAGGAATCCTCGCCTGGAATCCTGGAAGAAGTGCAAAATGTGAAGATGAGCCTTTTACGTCAAAATAGTATGCGCAAGAGGATTTTTTAAGATACAGCTGAACAAGGTAGGTTTACGCCAGACCGCGTCTTGTCGTAACAGGCTTCGCGATGTGTCGCTGCCTGTTTCTCCAATCCACGCCTGGCGTACCTACCTTGGCCTGCGGCGCTAGGCTGCCTTCGGCAGACAATGCTTGTCCATCACCAGTTACTTCAGAACTGTTGCATGCTGGGGGCCCCCAGACCCCCCTTCATTCTTGATAGAGGTGCTTCATCTACAAATAACACGATCTTGACCCTTGTAACTTTTCAACTTGTCGTGGCTGGGGGGCTCCGCCCCCCCAGACCCCCCTTTCATCCAGACAGGAGAGGTCTACCGACAGAAAACTCGATTTTTCGCCGTTTTTTTAGGTGTTTTTCGGCTATAGAAACTGAACCACTTCAGCTAGGATGGTGAAATTTCGCGTGTGCCGAGCCAAGAACATACCTAATAACCCTGCGAAATCTCAGCCAGATCGGCCGAGCCGTTCAGGAGGAGTAGTGTACACACACAGACAGACAGACACACAGACAGACAGACAAAACTTTTCAACCGCACTGGAGTAACAGGCTTCGCTATCGCTCAGCCAATAAAGCCAAAACAGTCCAAAAAAGACAATTCGACTGGGTTCAAGACCTGGCATATGCCTCCAAAAATCAAATCTTAGTCTCTTCATGAGCTCATGGTCTCTTTGAAGTATGATTGCATATTCCCAACAAATTATGACAGTGGGGTTCATTTTGAAAATGGCAAGACTTTCACCAGAACCTCCCCTTGATGGCAAAACGGACAATTTTACTAAAATGTCGGAAATGCAGGAGTGTGCGAAAAGATGTATTTTAAGCACTTCCAGGTCCCGGATAGTCGAAGTCCCGACAGATCCTGAAAGAGGAAGGTCACCCAGAACTCATTTCATTAAATTTCACCAAACTTCTTCATTCTTTCACCTGTCCCTGGCCTTAACCCCTTCTTCCGCTTCGTGGATCACTTATCAGTTGAGTGGCTTCGTTATCGCTCAGAGATACCAGATCGGACCGGTGCTGCCATTACGGGAACATGGAAGGACTCGGGGCCAAAGCATTTTCAGTTTGTTGCTGCGTAGTGCTAGAGGTAACTTCGTTCCACGCGCTAGAATCGTGAATGCTTCGGCTGTTTAACGGCTGATGCCAGTCTAATCTACTGTCACGCGGTGCCCTGTCATTCACGGTAAAACAATCTGAGAACTGACCGATATTCGTGGGAATCCCCGGAAATTTTTCTGGAAACTGACCGATCAACTGGATTTGACAGGAACCTGAGACACGTTCCGCCTTGCGTCCTGCTTCGCCCCCTAGTCAGAACTCAGCGGCCATGCAGGAGAACGCTTTCACGTGCTGCCACTGTAAAAGGACCTCCATTTTAACGGTATGGCTCAACAGCGAAAAATCTCTACATGATGAGTTATTCTTTTACCGCCACACTGAGAATGAAAAAGTCATGATCAATACCCAATTTTGGGCGAGGTATACTTTATCACCCAAATTTGGGCGAGGATCGTTTCCTCGCCTAAAATTGGGTGAGGAAGGGTGTATCAGCTGCCTATATGGCTCCATAGTATTATGACCGAAATTTTGGTGAGGAAACCTTCCTCACCCAAATATGGGTAGTAAGGAATTCCTCGCCCAAAATCTTAGTCATGATCATAACTCTTTCATTCTCAGTGCATACACTGCAAACCTAACTGTCTACTAAGTACACACTTACAAATGCGTGCTTGCAAGTACACACTTACAAACGCATGCTTAGCCAAGTACACACTTACAAATGCATGCTTGCAAGTACACATTTACAAACGCATGCTAGACGCCGTATAAACTCCATGCGTCAAGCATGCGTTTGTAAGTGTGTACTTGCAAGCATGCGTTTGTAAGTGTGTACTTGGCCCAGCATGCGTTTGTAAGTGTGTACTTGCAAGCATGCATTTGTAAGTGTGTACTTAGTAGACAGTTAGGTTTGTAGTGTAGATAGACCCTTTCAGTCGCCGCCGAGGTACAGTTTTGGAGGGAGTCTGAAATATAGGGTACACCGAAAACAGGCAAATCTTTTATTTTGCGTTCTAGGAAGTTTCTGTCTGAGGCTCCCCAGGTATGAATCACCATCGAAGTACCGTTGGGGCCTTGAAGCGTGACCCCTTTACAATGTAACCACGTGGCATAAGTTGCTTTTACTTTGTCCAGTGATAGTTAGGGACGGATTTCTTGCGTAACAGGCATTTGGGGTGATTCGTAACAGACCCGTATAAAAACAAGAATGTAAGTAGTTTTTTCTATTAAATGCTTGAATTATTTCTCGAATCATCTGCTGCCTAATTCCAATACATTTACACAGCTCAAAATGCATTTTAAAGCGAGTTATTCTATTCTTTCCTCCAAAATTGAAAAAAGTGAGGTTAGGGTTGACATAGCCGGTCAGTTAATGCTGAGGCGGTCAACGGCAGCTTGTAATGTAGATTTTAAGGCGTCTGCAGAACATCCGAAGAACAAATGCTGGAGGAGATAACATTCCCGACGATGTTTCATTTAATGTGTAGGATGTTATGAAAAGCCCCATGGCCACTGCAAATGCAAAGGCGATACTTGAGTACATATTTCGGCGATACAATTAAGTATCGCCAATAAACGGCCTTACGGAAAAGTATTGCCTTCAGAACGGCGATACACAGAAGTATCGCCAAAATTTGGCGATACTTTTTGGTATCGCCAAAACCACGGCATTGAACTGGGAACTTGTCCCCTTGATTTGTTCAACGTTTCATGCCAAATTGTGGCAATACTCCGAAGTATCGCCAAATTTTGGCGATACTTTTGTGTATCGCCGTTTTGAAGGCAATACTTTTTCGTAAGGCCGTTTATTGGCAATACTGAATTGTATCGCCAAAAAAGGTACCAAAAGTATTGCCTTTGGATTTACAGTGGCTGTAACAAATCACCCCATGCTGGGGCGATTCGTAAAAGCATGCAAGGGTTTGGAAAGCGTCTTGGATTTCAAAGATTACGGACTCCAGATTGATCCAATGGAGCTGCACAGTCTAGATGAAGGGCCAGACTGCTCAACTGGCACAAGTTTGACACCGATATGCAGAATGTTCTTAATTTTGTATAGAGAATTTCAAAATCTGTTACAAATCACCCCATACCCACTTAATCATAAACCAGGAACCAGTTTCGCGACTGTTAAGAATTCACTGTGAGAAAAAAGTACGGAAAAAGTACGGAACATGAACATGTCTGGTCAATAATTTGCCTGGACCGTCCGTACTTGCCAACTACGGAACGTTCCGTACTTTTTTTCCGTACCATTTTTCCGTGTTTATTCCACAACCTTCAAACCTAAAAGGTCCCCCGACCAGAACTGGGCTATTCCCCGCAGGCCCAAGCACTGTTCTCTTCATAGCCTGAGGGTGGTGCCTGAACTTGCGCAACAGGAAACGCACGGAGGCAATCAGAGACTCGCCAGGATTATTAAGAACCAAAGAGAAAACCTCTAAATCCGGACAAGTTTCATAAAGTAAGGACAAACATCCCCAGAAACCTCGGTTAGAACTCGGGTTCTCGTCCGAACGAGGTTTAAATCTGTAGGCAATCATGTCAACATAATCAGGACAAAACTTGGTTCCGTAATGTCTACTCCCGGGCTGCCTGTTCCAGAAGGCTGCAATTTTGTTACTTAGCACGGAAAACAGCGACACCTCTTTTCGCTTTAGACATGAAGCCAAACATACTCCAATGTTAATAATATCAAAAAATAAAGATTTTAACACGAATTTGTTTTACTACCTTACCGGTATCTATGCTCTTCGTTTAGTATTTTCATGTGACAGGCACAACTCATGACTTCTTACCTTTTCAGCTCTCTTTAGTGACACCCATTTTTCTTCCCTCCAGATTTTATATCTTCTTCATTATAGTCCCCAATCATCTTTCAAATGAATGAAAACAACTTAAAAGCTCTAAACCCGCCAATATGAGCCAATTTTCCATACTTCTGAGCAATTTTTCTCTTTTGTCTTATAGTACCCCACATTGCAGGGAAATATGGGACGGCATTCCGAGGGTAATTGAAAAATTTGGTGGGAGTGTAGCCAAAGGGTAAATGGACAAGTGATGAACACCTCAGTACCTCAAAATGAAATTAAAAGGAGGAAATTTACAAAAAACCTCAAAACTTGTCTCATATTACCCCGTTCGACGGTTCTTCACACGGCGACGACTCAAAGCGTCTATCGTACTTACTCCACGCAATGGTACTTCTGAAAGCAACTCTAAGCAAGTCTAGTTTTTCGAGGGGGGATGCCATTCCCATTGTTTTGAAAACCAATATTACCAGTACTCTTTTACCCGTGGTTTTATTTTCTGTTGCAGTCAAAAGCTTCTCACACCGCGGTCCTCGTTAAGTGTCCACACTGCAACAGAAAGTAAGTTCAAACTGTTAAAGAACATCTCAAGGAGATTTTAGCTGCTTGAGCGGCGCACAGTGGGCCACGAAGCTGGTTTAGGCGGACATAATTCCATTTTTTCAACTCTCAAATCTGTAAGTTTTTTCATGTCGACGTGTCCTAAATGAACTCACGTATCGAGGGGTCCTATTCAAAAGATCATATCTGCGCGTTCCCCCCAAGACAATCTTATCTTAAACGCAGGCGAATTTCACTCAGTTTGACCACTTGTAATGGGTACGAGAGTAAGCGGAATATATTTCTGCATGCACTGTTGGTTTCTTTGATCTTTCATCTTCACATTTCAGTGAATTTAATCACAAATTATATTGATTTGCAGCTGTATCAAATGATCAAACTGAGTGGAATTTGCCTGCGTTTAAGATAAGATTGTCTTGGGGGGAACGCGCAGATAAGATCTTTTGAATAGGACCCCTCGGTATCTCCACCAGACTGATAGAACCATCGTATCTCTCGGACGCCAGTAGAACTACCGTACTCGGCCGGCGCCGCGCCGATAGAAAAGACGTAATTCGGGAGATCTGGCAAGACTATTATATCGCTTTTTAGGCGTGTTTCAAGGAGATTGAATTGAAAGGTTAAGTTTGTCTTACAATTTTGGAAAATGAAAGGAGATATTATAGGTTGACAGTGACGTCAAACTCATTTCATTTTCCGAATGTTAGTGACACTTAACCTTTCAATTAAATTTCTTAGAAACAGGCTTAAAAAGCGATACAATAGTCTTCCCAGATCTCCCGAATTAAGTCTTTTCTATCGGCGCCGCCAGAGTACGGTAAGTATAGTAGTTCTACCGGCCTCCGGGAGATACGATAGTTCTGTCGGTCTGGTGGAGATACGTGAGTTCATTTAAGACACGTCGATGTCATCTCTTCCTAATATTCTAAGGAACCACTCTACAAATCAAAGAGTGTACATAGTATGCTCTAACTGGAGCATGCCTGAAAGCACGCTATAACTAGCGCATGCCTGCCAAGCATGCACTAACTAGTGCATACATGCCATGTACACGCTTCCTGATGCAGAAAACTCCCTATCCCTTATGCAGTAAATGTATGCTTCAGTTAGCGTGTACATGGCATGTATGCACTGTGCATGCTTGGCAGGCATGCGCTAGCTAGAGCGTGCTTGCAGGCATGCTCCAGTTAGAGCGTACCATGTACACTCTTTGGTTTGTAGAGCAGGATTGGACAGAATTTTAACGCAGGGACACGTTGAGGCAAACATACATGTGGTCAAACACGCGCCAAACGATTTGCGCCACTTTGGTGCAGTAAATATGCATGATTTCAAACACAAAAAATACTTTTAATTTTTGTGCAGCAAACTTTTTATTGACATCTCGTGAAAGGGCGTTTCTTCACGAACATTTTCATACATTTACTTTTGATTTTGGACGATTTTTGTGGTGTCCAGCTTCATTTTTACTACACTCTAACAAAATTGTTAAAATTAAACCTTGCAGAGGCGGCACTTTTTTTGTTTTACGCTGACACGCTGACAACGTGAGTGCATGTTATGGTTTTTGCGTTTGCTATGAAAATGCAGAAAATTTGTCAGACCTTGTCTTGGCGTGACAGGTCCCTATGCATCAGATATTGTCAAATTTCGCACTTGAGGTGCTCAAGGACGGTCCAATGCATCAGATATTGCCAAAAACGGATTCTCCGCCACTCCAAACCCCCGACTACCAAGTTAAACGTCAAAATAACCATTGGTATGGCCTGGGAGAATTATGTCCGCCTCAACCGGCTTCGTGGCCCACTGTGCGGCGGTGCTGGGCTGGGATCGAACTGCACTTTTAACCGGATTCACTACTTACATTAGGGAAAACAGTTACAAACGCATCCCTACAATCTGGATGCTTGGCCCCGCCCTGCACTGAGAAGACCTGACAAACTATTTTAGGCCTTACAAAGGAAAGCAGTTTGTTACAACAACAAAGTTTTGAGCATACGTAAGCTTACAAAGAAAATACTTTGTAATTTACCAACTGTTTCTTAGAATAGCAAAGTAAAGTAGTTTGTACTTATGTATGCAAAATAAATCGTAACGAGGGGCCCAAAATTTTTAATACAAGAGATTTCGTCTGATTTCGTCCACTTTAAGGGGAGGTTCTGGTGAAAATGCTATTTTCTCCTAAATAGGTCCCACTGTGAAAATTTGTTAAAAATTTGATGTCTTATCAAGTATTTATTAAAATTTTTCATTGCACTGCAATCCCAGTGGTAAGTTTACTTGCCACTGAATTGGCAAGCCGTTTTGAATGCCAAAAATTGGCAAGCTTGGCCCGGAAATACTCCCCAGCTTGCCAAAATTTGGCAAGCTTATGAAGAGTGCCGACCAAAGCTTGCCAAATTTTGGCATTCAAAACGGCTTGCCAAATTTGTGGCAAGCAAACTTACCACTGGCTTTGCAGTGTGGGGCACATTCTATGCCCTCTGAACCCAGTCGCAGAGCCATTTTCTCTCATTTAGGCTATAACTTTAAAAATCTTCTTGCGCATCCTATTTTGTCGTAAAAGGTTGGCTTAGACATTTTTCACTTCGATTCATTTTTTAAAAATGCCGGCATGCACACCTCAAAATGTCAATTGCATTTTTATTCGCAAGCTCTCTAACCAAGCATTTCACTATAATTGGTCAAAAATGCACAAAATAGACAAATTTTAGGGACTTTTCAGCTTAAAAGGTTAATGATTAATAATATAATGGAAGTTTTGAGCTATGCATGCCGGAATCTTTTGAAAATGAATCGAAGAAGTGAAAAATGTCAAGGTCAACCTTTTACGACAAAATAGTATTTTTTGAGATACAGCCAAAATAGGCTCAAAAAGACTCTTCGACTGGGTTTACAGCCTGGCATGTGCCTTCAAAAGTCAAATTTTAGTCTCCTCAATGAAAAATTTTATCTTCCGAACAAATTATGACTGTGGGATCCATTTGGAAAATGGCAAGATTTTCAGCAGAACCTCCCCTTAAAGCCTGCCTGTTTTTGCCCTTTTGGGAGAAAGATTTCGGATTTTCCAGGGATTTCCATGGTTCCAGGGACACAGGATTCCTTGAGTGGTTGGTAATAGTAGGGTATTATCGAATCGTCAATTTTCGTCGGAGAGTTCCCAAATTCAGCCCTCTTTAAGATAAGATGAGAATTTCCATGATCCGAGCACTTTTAAAATTCACTAAAAGTAGGTTAGAAATACGGGTCGCGGCAGACGACAACATGGCTCTGACTGGGGGGGGGGGGGGGGGGGGGGCGGTGGTGCCATCTCTCGGCACCCACCGGTACTACGTCAACTGCGACCGGTGTACCGCGGGAGCCGGCTAGAACAGGTTGAATGGGCCAGATCGGGGAAGACACCAGAGAAACATGTTGCTTACTGAAATTCAGTCGATAAAAGACATCTATGCCATTTTTGCTCAGGGTGAGAAGGAGGTAGTGCTGGTCCTTCAGGCTGAGGCCTCTTACAAGCACTCAAGACATGTAAAGTTTGAACTTGCAAAAGGAAACAGGAGCTGATACGCAATAGCAGATACAAGGGGCATTATGCTGCATATTGTCCTTAGTGCAAGAAATATTCCAGCCTTACCACCGGGACTTTCTTTTAAGGTACCCATCTTTCATTTGATGATACTTTTGTGTGTGTGTGTGTGCTTCTGGGTATGCCACGTTTCTTCAAACGATACTCACAAGGTAGCTGGAGTTACGAGGGAGGCGGTTGTCCGTCCAGTACCACCGTTACTTCAGGTACATTCCTAAGCATTTTAATTAAAATGTCGTTATTATGACTGCTGTTACTATTACTTCTACCACTGTACAGGGACATAGCGTAGTGGAAAATTTTGGAAATGCCCAATGCTGAGTTAGGAGGCGAAGGGACAATAGTGCAAATCGATGAGAGTGTCATAACAAAGCGGAAATATAACAGAGGAAGAGGAGTCCGGAAGACTAGGAAAGAGAAGTGTGTTCTGGGAATGTACGACTCTCAAGAAAAAGTTGGTGTGGTGCTGCACGTAAAAAAAGAATTTGTTGTGACAACGAAAATGTATGTTGATTTTGGGATAGCAAAAAAAAAGTTGTTAGACGTACTATAAATTTGTTGTGAGAACGAACACTTTGCTCTCACGACAAATTATTCGTCAGGAGTACAAACATTCATTTTTATTGTGTTTAGTACTCCTGACGATATAGTTCGTTGTCAGAACGAAATGTTCGTTCTGACAACAAATTGGTAGTACGCCCAACAACTTTTTTTAGCTATCCCAAAATCAACATACATTTTCGTTGTCACAACAAATTCTTTTTATCCGCGTGTGTGTAGTTAAACGTGACGAAGCTATCCTTCTTCCCCACTGTGGCAAAAAGCTACGGAAAATTCTGTAAACGGCTTGTGGTAATTCTCCGTAGGCCCCTTATCAATATTCTCCGTAGGCTCTTACAGTATTTTCTGTAGGACCGCACAGTATTCTCCGTAGGACCGCACAGTGATCTCCGTAGGACTGTACAGTCTTCGAGGTCCTACGGAGAAGACTGTGCGGATTTACAGAGAATACTGTGCGGTCCTACGGAGAATACTGTAAGAGCCTACGGAGAATATTGATAAGAGGGCTACGGAGAATCCTGGCAAAAAAATTAACAGGATTTCCCGTACCTTTTTGCCACAGGGCCCTGATACGCCAATATGTGCGACCTGGTAGTATAATATGGACCGACGGATGGGCAGCCTACAAAGCGCTTGACAAGTTTAACTACACCCATAACATTGTCAATCATTCCAAGGAGTTCAAGAGCGCTGATGGAACATGTACGAATGGGGCAGAAGGCTACTGGCAGAGGTTGAAACAATTCTGTTGACATACCGAGGTCCTTAGGAGTAATTTATTGGCAGAACGTGTGGACAAGTTCATGTATCGGCAATAGAGGCCGTACACAAACCACGTTGACCGTTTTGGGGGAGGGGGGGGGGGGTTGTCCAAAAAATCCACGGAAATCCACGGTGGGGGAGGGGGGTGTTCATGTCCGATCCACGTTGACACTTCCGAGCACTAAAAACTGCCGCGCGGTATATTTTCGGCCGCGTCGTTTGTCACTACTCCACGCGCTGGCGGGCGGCCGCCCGCGTTCCCGCGTCCGTCCGTCTGCCGCCTTGCCATGCCGTGGCTGGCTGGCTGAAGCCATGCCATGGACGGAGCGGGAATGAGACTGTTTTTAATTCATTGTTAATTATTTTTTATTAAATTGACGTTTAAATCACCATTCCTTGCGTTTTTCTGATTTTCCTATTTTTTTCAGAAATGCACGTGGACAGAGGGAGGGGGGGGGAGTCAAAAATCGGCCAAAATCGGTCAACGTGGATTGTGTACGGCCCCATACTTGAGAGGGACTCCTGCTTATAGATTCCAAGCGTTTCTCGGCCATGTCAAGGTGAGGTACACTGTTTAATTTCCCTCTAGGCAGCTAGAAGGGTGATTCTGTGAATGAATCGCACTGTCAGAAATTTTGTCGTAAATTAGCGACAAAAACGTCGCTAATTTTGATAGCGACAAGAATCGTTCTGAAACTACTTAGTCGCAACTGAACGACAAAATAATCATTTCTCTACGACAATGTCGTAATCGCGATTACATATTTTGAAATCTGAAATCCCCGAAAAGTTGATGAAAAGTTGCAATTTCGCTCGCTTATTTACGATTTGTGTCGTTCATTTACGATTCTTTACACAAATTTACGACAAGATTCGTAAATGTACGACTGAAGTCATAACTGCACGACATACTCAATAGATAAATTACGATCGTTCGTAAACTAACGATTAAGTTGTAAATTTACGACGTAATTCGTTTCAAAACGGAACGTCTCGCTATCAAAATTAGCGACAAATATGTCGTAAATTTACGACTCAAGTAGTATATTTACGACTTGAGTCGTAAAAAAATATGTCGTTTTAAAACGACATAATTGTTCTGCAAAATGTCGTAAATTTACGACTATTTTTAACAGTGCGAATCAGTTTGTTTTTGTTTTTTAAAGTCTTTTTACAAAGTTTGTTTTTATACAGAGAGATATAAGCAATACCCAACAAAGTCTACCTTTAATACCGCTAAAAATCTTCCTTCTATTTAATGCACAACATACTGCGCTTGTCCTTGTCTTGGCTGTCTATTCAAATCAGCAAAACATCCTTGAAACATGTCCGTACATGTCCCAGCTCCAGTAACGGCTACGACGGTGAAAGCCATTCTCTTCATCGTTTCAGTACTGGAATAGATCCTTCATCTTGGTTATTTTCGCTTCGTCGCAGTTTAATCGCCTCAGAAACTCAATAGTGCTGTACATATTGTCTCCATTCTGGTAGCAGAAAGACGCAATTACCACTCGACTGTTGTATCTCAAATGGGGGTCCCAGAATGACCTTCGGTAGTGTTTTTTCATTGGTCCCCATTGTTCAGGTGGCCCCAAACTATCGAGGACGTTAAGCCACGCTAAATATACAGGGCACTTCATAATTCTAACGTTCTAGTTCACGGTCTAAACTACTAGTTCACGTGTTGACACTCACAGGTCGTAGTTGACGTAGCACCGATGGGTGCCGAGAGATGGCGCCACCGTCACCACACCACCCTCGCTAGTCGGAGCCATGTTGTCGTCCGTCGCGACCCGTATTTCTGACCTATTTTTAGTGAATTTTAAAAGTGCTCGGATCGCGGAAATTCTCACCTTATCTCAAAGAGCATCGAAAATGGTGCGTGCGCGCCGAATTTGGGAACTCTACGACGAAAATTGACGATTCGATAATACACTGAAAAAAAAGTCTAGTAACGATAACCAGAATTCTGGTACCAAATACCAGACTGTCTGATAGAATATAACTCAACTAGAATTCTGGTAAAAAATACCAAACTGTCTACTTAGCCTCAGTCTGGTAAACCGTACCAGATTTATAGTTACCCTTACAATGCCGCAGGGTCCCCTTCTGGCAGTTTTTACCAAACATCCTGGTTAGTTCATGTGCTTGCAAAGCTGAAGGAAGAAGTCCAAAATTTTAAAAAAAAATATTTTTGTAGCATTGAAACCTGATGTGATTACGACTTCCTTCACGAATCGCCTCTAAATCAATTCTCCCCTCCTTCTCTCCTCCGGATTCGAACCGGGATCTCACACTTGTGAGCTGAGCACGTTACCACTGTGCCACCACGTCACCTGCGGGTCGAGGGGATCCGCACCTGGTGACTCTCTTCGTGTCTGGCTCAGGGAAATACTCCCAGTGTTTCTTCCGGATTTAAGACTCCGAAAATAAACGAAACCGGTTGCAGTTAACTTTTTGACACGCTAACATTTCAATTGAACCAAATGTTTCGAAGTTTTACGTATGGCGCCAATTACTGAACAGTCTAGTAAAATTTACTAGGATTATTAACCAGACACCTGGTAAATGTCACAACACCCGATCTGGTTACTTCAACTGATCATCTGGTAAGAGTTACTAGGATTCTCGTATGCGTAACTAATACTCGTTTAACTAGGATTGGTCTAGTACTTATAACCAGACTTTTTTTTCAGTGTACCCTACTATTACCGAGTGGGGCCCCCCTCGCTTCGTAAGGTTTTGAGGGTGCGTGACTCATATGCTACACATGTACTACCGTATGTGTGTACTTGGCCACACTGCAAAAAAAAGTCCTGTCAATGCCGTTAATTTATTTCCAGTTTCCACTGTAGGTCAATTTACAGCGTTTATTGGGATCTGCTCACGCGATTCACTGTGATCTAGTTCGCGGTGTTTACTGCGATCTGCACGGTAAAAACGGATCCTGGTTTTCCCAGGAGCTCCCTGGAAATCGCCTATGTCTCCACCATAGGCTTCCTGAGAAAACCAGGTTCCGTTTTTACCGTGTGGTCCACAGTAAACACTGTGAGTTTGACGCCGCTGAGCACCGAAGTACTGCAAATCAGGCTCCAAATCACGGTGTTTACTGTGGCCAGATCACAGTGAACGCCGTGAACTAGTTCACAGCAAACGCCGTGAATTGCATAACAGCAAACATTGGTTAACGGCATTGACAGGACATTCGGTGCAAGTACGCGTCAGTAAGAGTGTACTTGTAGGCATGCGTATGTAAACGTGTACTTGTTAGAATGCTAGGTTTGTAGTGAGGCCACTCTGGTTGGCTGCGTTATAAAGCCTTGACGGGGGACCTGCTCCCGCGTAGCTCCGAACGAACTTCAAGTTGTGTTACAGGTCTAGGACGAAAGACGTCCCTTGCCACTTCTTCTTCGTTGGGATCACCCTCACTTTGGTCAGCATTGGTATTTCAGTGGTAAGGAACAGGTTTCAGCCAACTCCACGGTCAAAAATACTTAGTGAGTCCTACAAAAACTTTGTTAGCCCGACCGAATTGTCGGTTGGTTTAGGTTCAACTGAGTATGTTTCGTACCAGTACCGACAATGTCGTCAGAAGAGCAGTTTGTTGCCTCAATGAATCCATCTTTGCTGCAGCAAATTAGATCCTTATAGTAGCGAACTATAAATTCGGCTGTGCTATCGAACCAGTCCGTTGAAAAAACGATCGAATTCACTGCTGCAACGAACTTCCCGCTCTGCTAACAAAATTTTCGCTCTCCGAACGCAATGTTCGTTACTCGAACAGGACATCTTAGTGTAACCGTTGGACGGTTCCACATTGTAAGCGGGCCTGCGACCTACTCGGTGAAGGCGAGAGTGCGGTCTCGTACGGGTTGCACTGCGTTGCACTTACACTGAGAATGAAAAAGTCATGATCAATACCCAATTTTGGGCGAGGTAAGGGAAGGTGTGGTACCATGTGACGGTTTTTGTTCAAGTGCCCGTCAACCCAAAAATATCAATAACGTTACATCCATAAGTAGTCATGTGAACAAAATGATTCCTCACCTTAAAATTAATTACTGTTGAGATTTCTTATTTATCTGTTTTGGTTGCTGAGTTACCCCGAGTTGAATGGATGCATTCTTTCTGAAACCAAATCAACTTTCCGGGTCAATGTGGAGTTTTGGCCTACCAATTTTTTTTATCAAGAGGCCCTCACTAGGAGAGACTCCCTGTAAAATATTTTTGCAATCAGACCAATAGTTTGGGAGAAAATGTCAAAAAACCATTTTCACCTATTTTAGCTCAATTTAAGGTTGAAAAATTTCAAAGTGCCAAAATGTTGCTAAATTAAGGTCCCACTTCCCCAATGCTTTTCTTATATGAAAGAGCATATTTAAAAGTAATTTTGAGCCACTTTGGAGTCAGCTGACTTTACGCGTTACCCCAATCGTGTAACATCATAGGAAATTTACGCAATTTTCATTTCTCAAATATTCCGACTCAGAACTGGACCGAATCAGGCCCAAAGCATCCTTATATAGCCCTAACTAATAACCCAAGTAGTCATCAAAAATATATTTCATTTGTGGATTCTGGAGCCAACTTTATAATCTTAAGTCTTTGTAACTCGATGAATGACCTGTTTTGAACTCGGATGCATATTTTCTCCATCCGAACAACACAGATGGAGCTCAAAACAGATTCTTAACTTAAAGTAACTTTCTCTCTTGTAAATGAGCCCAAACCACCTGGAGGAAGGGGTCAAAATTGCCTCACAACAAATTCCACTGCTTTCCGGCAAAATTCCTATAATGTTACTCGATTAGGGTAACGCTTAAAGTCAGCTGCCTCTAATGTGGCTTTGACATAGCAAAATATGCATCAAAAACCTGTCTTTCGACAAAATCAATGAAATGACCACCAGAAAAACTAATGTTTATCTGACGAGACAGGCCCTTCACCTTATGCTGTTGTTTTCTTGAAATGAAATGACCACCAGAAGAAAACAACAGCATAAGGTAAAGGGTCTGTCTCATCAGATAAACATTATTTTTTCTGGTGGTCATTTCATTGCTTTTGTCTAAAGACAGGTTTTTGATGCTTTAGGAATTTTGCCGGAAAGCAGTGGAATTTGATGTGAGGCAATTTTGACCCCTTCCTCCAGGTGGTTTGGGCTCATTTACAAGAGAGAAAGTTACTTTAAGCTAAAAATCTGTTTTGAGCTCCATCTGAGTTGTTCGGATGGAGAAAATATGCATCCGAGTCCAAAACAGGTCATTCATCGAGTTACAAAGACTTAAGATTATAAAGTTGGCTCCAGAATCCACAAATGAAATATATTTTTGATGACTACTTGGGTTATTAGTTCACTGAGAATCCAAACGCTATGAGTATAGCGTCAATTGGTGCAATGCAAAAGCATTGCACATGAAGTGCAATGCCTCCCATTTCCCATGCATTAGCATGGGGCCTTTTCGGGAAGCATTGCACCAAAGGTGCAATATGGCTGTGGCATTGCACGTATGGTGCGATATCACAGCGCATTGCACCATACGTGCTATACTCATAGTGTTTGGAATCTCAGTGTTAGGGCTATAAGGATGCTTTGGGCCTGATTCGGTCCAGTTCTGAATCGGAGTATTTGAGAAATGAAAATTGCGTAAATTTCCTATAATGTTACACGATTGGGGTAACGCGTAAAGTCAGCTGACTCCAAAGTGGCTCAAAATTACTTTTAAATATGCTCTATCATATAAGAAAAGCATTGGGGAAGTGGGACCTTAAGGGGGGACATCACTCCAAAAACAGTGCTTTTGTAAAAACGTCATAAAAACCAAACGGAAAGAGAAAAATTGTTCATATTTTAACAGTTAAAGAATAAAACAACACCAAGTCAATCCGCCAGGGAAGTACAGCGCTTTCGTTAAAAACACATTTTTGAGTGTCAGGTTAGACCATTTCGCACTGTTGCAGCGCTGGACGCCAAACGGTTTGACCTAGAACATTGAAATTTGGTAACAGTCTTCCTGATATGTCTGGCTATGGTGGGTACCTCAATCACATTTAAAAATTCATTTTAAGTTGTATTTGTTACATACCAAAAAAATTGTTCAATTTTTTTGGTCAAAATTGTTCAATTTTAAACGTTAGAAATATAATAAAAATTAACAAATGCTAATTATTTTGCTTCCAACCATAGCGGCATGTCGTAGGAGATTCCATGCTAAATCTCCCCGTTGTAGCTCAAAAACTGCGCCCTAGAGGCCTGCAACCGTTTTCAATTTCATGTTCCGAGAAAAACGCAATCAAAGTTGGGGAAACTAGGCTTTTCCCCTATGCATGTTTGCGGCCCACAATCTACTAAAACTGCAATTTTTCGAATTCCGGAATGCGGTTTTCACCATTCGACGCAGAAAGGAATGGTCTATAATATAATTTAATTTAAAAAAGTTGCAATTTTTGATCATTTTGGAGTGATGTCCCCCCTTAATTTAGCTACATTTTGGCACTTTGAAATTTTTCAACCTTAAATTGCGCTAAAATGGGTGAAAATGGTTTTTTGACATTTTCTCCCAAACTATTGGTCTGATTGCAAAAATATTTTACAGGGAGTCTCTCCTAGTGAGGGCCTCTTGATAAAAAAATTGGTAGGCCAAAACTTCACATTGACCCGGAAAGTTGATTTGGTTTCAGAAAGAATGCATCAATGGGCCTAAGTCAAAGTGTCACCTCGTACCCCACGCAGTACACCATGTGACAGCCTTAGTACATCATGTGACAGTGGCCTTTTGTCAGGGTTTAAATCCTATTCAGCGCACCTACACGCAAAGAATGAATGATGGAGTCTTCCAGCTTTTCATTTTCGTTGAGTTTATCAATTTACAAGGTAGGTTTACGCCATACCGCGTCTTGTCGTAACAGGCTTCGCGATGTCTCGCTGCCTGTTCCTCCAATCCACGTCTGGCATACCTACCTTGGCCTGCGGCGCTAGCCTGCCTTCGGCAGGCAATGGCTTGTCCGCCCCCCAGGCCCCCCTTCATTGGCTGAGCGATAGCGAAGCCTGTTACTCAGGTGGGGTTGAAAAATTTTTCCTGTCTGCGTGCGTGTGTGTCCGCACTACTCCTCTTGAGCGGCTCGGCCGATCTCGGTGAGATTTTGCACACTTTTTGGGTATGTCCTTGGCTCGGCACACGCGATCTTGACCCTTGTGACTTTTTGACTTGTCTGAGCTGGGGGGGGCCTCCGCCCCCCATACCCTCCTTTTTTCAAGACAGAATCGATCTGCCTGCGGAAAACTCGTTTTTTCGCCGTTTTTTAGGTGTTTTTCGGCTATAAAAACTGAACCAGTTGAGCTAGGATGGTGAAATTTCGCCAAGGACATGCCAAAAAAGTGTGCAAAATCTCACCGAGATCGGCCGAGCCGTTCAGGAGGAGTAGTGCGGACACGCACGCACGCAGACAGGGAAAACTTTTCAACCCCGTCTGAGTAACTGGCTTCGCTATCGCTCAGCCAATAAGAAGCGCACTTCCAACACTCACAGTCAAGGGCCAGTGACAGAACCTCAGGTGTCAGTACATTATCCTCTGCAAACAAAATTAATTTCGTATTTCAAAATCATAGGCGTAATTTGAATGTAATGGTTTCTCAATCTCCATCTTCTTTGGTGGGCGCACATTGAAATACTGCGCCCACTTGAGATGGAATTTTTGATTGTAACTTGTAATTTCTATACAAGGTAGGTTTACGCCAGACCGCGTCTTGTCGTAGCAGGCTTCGCGATGTCTCGCGGCCTGTTCCTCCAATCCGCGCCCGGCGTACCTACCTTGGCCTGCGGCGCCAGCCTGCCTTCGGCAGGCATTGGCTTGTCCATCGTCTACTTGTTGCATGCTGGCCCCCCCAGACCCCCCTTCATTCTAGATAGAGTTGCTTCATCTACAGATAACACGATCTTGACCTTTGTAACTTTTAAAGTTGTCGGGGCTGGGGGGCTCCGCCCCCCAGACCCCCCTTTCTTCAAGACAGTGGTGATCTGCCTGCAGAAAACTCGACTTTTCGCCGTTTTTTAGGTGTTTTTCGGCTATGAAAACTGAACCAGTTGAGCTAGAATAGTGATATTTCGCGTGTGCCGAGCCAAGAACATACCTAATAAGCCTGCAAAATCTCAGCCAGATCGGCCGAGACGTTAAGGAGGAGTAGTGCACACACACACACACACACACACACATAGACAGACAAAACTTTTCAACCGCACTGGAGTAACGGGCTTCGCTATCGCTCAGCCAATAAGTGACGGCAAGTGTGTGCCTGAGGCATGCACCAGGAAGTGTGTGCCTGCCAGGCATGCAGAAAAGAAGTGTGTGCCTGCAGGCATGCACCAAGAAGTGCATGCCTGGCACACACTTGAATTTGCAGAGCGTGTACAAACATAACATTAGATGGGCCAAAACCGACCGAATCGGTTAGACCAACTAATAGGGTACTTTCGTAGATCCTGAACCGGAAGCAAGCAGACCAGCAGACGCCAAATTGGCCGGAAACTAACCTCTCTTCGGATCTAAAACTATAGCCGAGCTGTACAAATATTGCTCGCGAAACACATATATGCGCTGCAAACAAGTATCAAACGACTGTTTATGTTCAAGTGTGGCCGATACGTTTGACTAACGTCTCTTTCCCATGTCAAGTTTGGATCTACTTCCGCCAACATGGCGTCTGTGTGCTTCCGGTTCAGGGATCTACGAAAGTACCCTATTACAGGGCGAGTTTTCTCGATGTGTCAATAATTTGTAGGAAGCTTAGGCACTCCTAGTGGATCATTTTTGACCAATGAACTAGTGGGCGCAAACGTCTAGTTACTGAGATGGTAAGTGTTTTGTAATTTAACTTGGCGCCTACGAGGTAGGCACCCGCTGCCTCTGGGGATGGCGGGAACTCTCGAGTGGGTGTCAAGGGACTTGCAGAACTCGCGGCTCGCGGGCGTGCCACTGGCTTCGCAGAAGTATCCGTGGAGTCCTGCCACCCTTTCGAAGACAGCCGCGAGGTCCACTGTTACGCAGGCAACTACGACAGCCACTTGAGACCCTCGGCAAACTCTCAGAAAAGACAATTAAGAGATCCACCGCACCCACGCGAGTCCCGAAGCATCCCCGCTTGACCCGCGACACCCGCTCGTGAGGTCCTGAGACCCTCAGTGGCAGCGCGTGCGTATCACGCACTTAAGGGGAGGTTCTGATGAAAATCTTGCAATTTTCCAAATGGATCCCACAGTCACAATTTGTTCGGAATATAAAATTTTTCATAGAGGAGACTAAAATTTGACTTTTGAAGGCACATGCCAGGCTGTAAACCCAGTCGAAGAGTCTTTTTGAGCCTATTTCAGCTGTATCTTAAAAAATCTCCTTGCGCATACTATTTTGTCGCAAAAGGTTGACCTTGACATTTTTCACTTCTGCGATTCATTTTCAAAAGATTCCGGCATGCATAGCTCAAAACTTCCATTATGTTATTAATTATTAGCTTTTTAAGCTGAAAAGTCCCTAAAATTTGTCTATTTTGCACATTTTTGATCAATTAGAGCGAAATGCTTGGTTAGAAAGCTTGCGAATAAAAATGCAATTGACATTTTGAGATGTGCATGCCGGCATTTTTAAAAAATGAATCGAAGAAGTCAAAAATGTCTAAGCCAACCTTTTACGACAAAATAGTATGCGCAAGAAGATTTTCAAAGTTATAGCCTAAATGGGAGAAAAAGGCTCTGCGACTGGGTTCAGGGCATAGAATGTGCCTCCCCAATGAAAAATTTTAATAAATACCTGATGAGACATCAAATTTTTAACTAATTTTCACAGTGGGACCTATTTAGGAGAAAATAGCATTTTCACCAGAACCTCCCCTTAAGAGCGCCCATTACTGAACACCAATTTTCTCCGTACCTAGACGTTTGTGCCCACTAGTTCACTGGTGAAAAATGACCCCCTCGGGATGCCCAAGCTATCTTCAATTTATTGACACATCGAGAAAACTCACCCTGTATTTGATCCAGGAAGCGGAAGAAGGGAATAACTTGACTTATCCCCAAATTGAGTTTTTATTTTATTATTGTGCCTTAGAATGGTTTACATCATTACTCCAAATTATTTGACTGAATTCCAAGCAGTTTAGGAGAAAATTCACATGGAAAAAGGGTATAACTCAACTTAACCCCTTTTACAGTCTAAATTTCATTGGAAAATGGAGATAACTCAACCTTAGTCTACATGAGTCCGTTTGACAAATTGGCAAAAGGATATAACTCAACTTGTGTTTTTATGGATCTAGTGTAAAAAGAATCAACTCAACTTAACCCCCCCTTAATTTTAAATTTCAATTTGGAAAAAAGAGCTAAGTCCAAAAAATACACCAGAGTAACATACACTTTATGCAGACTATTGTTCCACTTGACTTGTCTCCAAATTCCTCTTTGTTTAGGAAATATAAGGTGAGCTGACTCTGTTTTCCATTTCAGCGGAAAGTGATAAGTCGCAGAAATCCTCTACGGGGTGACCTTACACTTTTGATTTTTTTTTTCAAAATTTTACTAATGCTTTTTGAAATTATTAACATATGCAACATTCATTTGTTTTGTTTTAGTTTTCCCTGCTAACAGTTTTTTGTTTCTCCTGAAAAATGCCCAAAATTTAGTTATCCCCTTCTTCCGCTTCCTGGATCATTTTTCCGTGTGCACTGCAAATCCAAGTTTGCTACAGACTTGCGCTGGAAAGCTAGGGGACAACCCTACTTGCCCTACACTCATATTATCAGTTTAAGTAGAGGCTTCGTACTTACATAAATTTTTTGTTCTTTTTTCAGGCCATCTTGTTACTAACACACTTTGCGTTCGTTATTGTTTCGGTTGGTAAGTAAAGACGAGTGATCCATGCCGCACACTAAATATTTTGTACAAATTTTGTACGAGACATCACAGTTTTTTTGTGCACACGAACTTTTCGTACCAATTTGTACGAAATCTTGAACAATTTTGTCCAAAAATGACGAAAAATGTGCAGATTTTCGTACGAAAGTTGCACGAAAATTTCGTGTTCAAAAAAACTTTGATATCTCGTACAAAATTGTACATAACATTTAGTGTGCGTTGAACGGGTAGTGAAGCATGACGTCGGCCTGGTGCAGCTTTTTTTAAAATAAGGATTCTTTCTGCAGGCTTATTTTGTGTCGGCCTCCGCTATTTAATTGTGGCTATCAGAATGAGCTGTGTGCCCAAGAGCGACTTCTACATCGAAGAGTCTCGTGATGTCCTAGCTTAAGTGCGCCCGCCCACCCTGAAAACCTTGCAAACTATTTTAGACCCTACAAAGAAATGTAGAGCTACATTTCTTTGTAGGGTCTAAAATAGTTTTTTTTGGAGTATTTTCAGCATAGGGCCTACATAAGCTTGTGAAGAAAATACTTCGTAATTAACGAACTATTTCTCCGTACAGCAAACTTAATAGTTTATGCTCATAAAATATTTTGTTCTCAAAATACTTAAGCGTTTAAGGTTTTAAGCGTGCTAATAAATGCAATAGTATGGTCACGTGTCTCATCATTTTTTGCCAATTGCACCAATTTGCCAATTTAAAGTGCGCTTTGTCTCGATTTTCCTTCATGTCTCATATTACCCCGTTCTACGGTACTCTGAACTACAGTGACAGCTGTACTACTGTTCCTACAGTGAAGACCGCTGCCCTCAAAGGCCGGGACCATAACATTGCAAGATATTTGGAGTGTACATGAAATTTGCATTGGACTCGAGACTTGATGCGTGTGAAGTTCATCATCAAACCAACTCGACAGGTGCACCCCAGAGTGATTTCTATGTATTCAGTACAACGGTTCAACGAACGATGAGCTGAATCCACTAAAATTCTTCAGCTGAAGGACGCAAAATATATATTTCAGTGGGTGGCGGATTTTAAGTTAAGCATGGCGTGTCCGCAGGAATAGGGAAGTTTTTTTCTCTGGGAACGGAAGATTCTTCGTGGATTTACGGAGATACCTCGCGTACTTTGCCAATGAACTAACGAGAACTTTCGTGAATTTACAAAAGCCCTTTTCCGTAAACTTCCAAGACTAACTTTTGCAGTTGAGTGGCTACTACGTAGTACTAGCAGGTGAGCAGCTTCGGGCATACAGGACATGAGCCCAGTCCCGTTTGAGCCCCGATGGTCTGAGCCCTAACATGAGCCCGGGTTGAGCCCCGACTTGAGCCCCGACCCAAGCCCCAATTTTCAGAGCCCGGATTTAGCCCCATTTGAGCCCCGCGACCTGAAATCAAGCATTTTTGCATGATTTATTGCCAAGGGGCTCAAATGGGGCTAAATCGGGGCTCAATCCGGGCTCAGACCATCGGAAAGGGGCTCAAACGGGACGGGGCTCATGTCCTGTATGCCGCGGCAGTCGGCGGCAGCATCGACCTCGTCTCAGTCGAGCTGAGTAGTTCTCGCAGCGGAATGTGGTCGAGGCGCAAGACGAGTGTTAAGCTGCGAAAGAGCGCGCGACAGCACGGTGAACGAGTAAGTGCAACGACACCTTGAGTCGGTGGCGGACATATTTTGATCAGTGTTATATGGGCAACGTATCATTCGGGTACTTTTACGGAGCCACTGGACGGTACCAGAATGGCGGGCGACCAGCAGCGCCACCGTGCCGGTGTAAGCGGCGAAGTGTAACCCCCGGCCCAGGGAGCCCTCGGGTACAACTCGCCTAGGACTAAGGTAACCGGGGGTACACAACGCCTAGGCTCAATGTACCCCGGGTACCTCAGGCCTGGGGGGTACACTGAGCCTAGGCGAGTTGTACCCCAGGGTACAAAAAGCCTAGGCGAGTTGTACCCGGGGTACAAAAAGCCTAGGTGAATTTTATCCTCCCTCATCCGAGGGGAGGATACAACTAGCCTAGGCGAATTGTACCCCGGGGTACAAAAATCCTAGGCGAATTGTATCCTCTCTCGCCCGAGGGAAGGATACGACTGGACGAGGGGAACTATATTCTTCCCCGGCAGGGCGTCAATGGTTGGTTTTTAATTGAACCGACGGAAGGCTTCTAAAACTGAATTGTCCAACCAATCCTAACCAAACCTAACGGGCTCGTGACAGATCTTACTCTACTCGCGACAGATCTGATTCTCAAAATAAATCGTACAACCTTTCCTAACCAAACCTAACGGGCTCCTCTCAGATGAAGGAGGATACAATTCGCCTAGGCTTTTGACTAATATTATATACACGCAGCGTTTAAATAATAAAATTGGACTTTATGTACACGCAGCGTGCATATAACAGAAAAAAAATTATTGACACGCAGGATTTTTCCCCTCAGACGTCCACCGACGGTGGCCATGTGGGACAAAATGTTCCTGCGTGCAAATAATATTTTGGCTTTTATTTAAACGCTGCGTGTCTCCAAGGCATCAAAAAATTATTGGCACGCAGGATTGTAAAAAGTCTTCCGACCGGCGACTGAGTCCGGCATGGCGGCTTGGTGAGTGAGTGGGTCCGTGCTTGCACGGGAATTTTTTGGCCCGGGTTCGAGACTCGCCTTCTTCTCAAAAAATTTCTGCGTGTCAATAATGAAAACCGGTGTTGTTTCAACGCTGCGTGTTTATAATAAATTCACATGTTATTTACACGCAGCGTGTCTGCAATTCCAGTTTTATTATTTACACGCAGGAGAAGTTTTGCTGCGTGCAAATAATATTTTGGCTTTTATTTAAACGCTGCGTGTCTCCAAGGCATCAAAAAATTATTGGCACGCAGGATTGTAAAAAGTCTTCCGACCGGCGACTGAGTCCGGCATGGCGGCTTGGTGGATGAGTGGGTCCGTGCTTGTACGGGAATTTTTTGGCCCCGGTTCGAGACTTCGCCTTTTTCTCAAAAATTTCTGCGTGTAAATAATAAAACTGGGTCTTGCAGACACGCTGCGTGTAAATAACATGTGAATTTATTATAAACACGCAGCGTTGAAACAACACCGGTTTTCATTATTGACACGCAGAATTTTTTTGAGAAAAAGACGAAGTCTCGAACCCAGGCCAAAAAATTCCCGTACAAGCACGGACCCACTCATCCACCAAGCCGCCATGCCGGACTCAGTCGCCGGTCGGAAGACTTTTTACAATCCTGCGTGCCAATAATTTTTTGGTGTCTTGGAGACACGCAGCGTTTAAATAAAAGCCAAAATATTATTTGCACGCAGCAAAACTTTTCCTGCGTGTAAATAATAAAACTGGGTCTTGCAGACACGCTGCGTGTAAATAACATGTGAATTTATTATAAACACGCAGCGTTGAAACAACACCGGTTTTCATTATTGACACGCAGAAATTTTTTGAGAAGAGGGCAAGTCTCGAACCCGGGCCAAAAAATTCCCGTGCAAGCACGGACCCACTCACCCACCAAGCCGCCATGCCGGACTCAGTCGCCGGTCGGAAGACTTTTTAGAATCCTGCGTGCCAATAATTTTTTAGTGCCTTGGAGACACGCAGCGTTTAAATAAAAGCCAAAATATTATTTGCACGCAGCAAAACTTTTCCTGCGTGTAAATAATAAAACTGGGCCTTGGAGACACGCTGCGTGAAAATAAGATGTATATATATTATATACACGCTGCGTGTATATAAGACCCATTTTTATTATTTAAACGCTGCGTGTCTATAATGACTCCGTAGGCTTTTTGTACCCCGGGGTACAATTCGCCTAGGCTAGTTGTATCCTCCCCTCGGATGAGGGAGGATACAATTCACCTAGGCTTTTTGTACCCCGGGTACAACTCGCCTAGGCTTTTTGTACCCGGGGTACAACTCGCCTAGGGTCAGTGTACCCCCCAGACCTGAGGTACCCGGGGTACATTGAGCCTAGGCGTTGTGTACCCCGGGTACCTTGGTCCTAGGCGAGATGTACCTGAGGGCTCCCTGGGCCGGGGGGTACTCTACAAACTCAAGTGTGTACATGGTACACTCCACCTGGAGTGTACATGCATGTACACTTCACCCTGGAGTGTACTTGGCATGTACACTTCACCCTGGAGTGTACTTGGCATGTACACTTCACCCTGAAGTGTACTTGGCATGTACACTCCAGGTTGGCGTGTACTTGCCAAGTCCATGCCAGGTGGCTCATACCTGCAGCAGGGAGCCAGCAACAGTGTACCTGAAGGTACACGCCACCGTGGAGTGTACATGCCAAGTACACTTCAGGTTGAAGTGTACATGCATGTACACTCCAGGTGGAGTGTACCATGTACACAGTTGAGTTTGTAGAGTACACTTGTCCGCCGACACCGGGCACACCGCCGTCACGCGCAACGGAGTCAGCATCGGGACGAGGAAGCTTGAGGATTTCGGATTAATGCATCTGCAACACTTCACCAGAGCACTGACTTTCGGAGTCAAAGTGCATGATTTGAACAAAATTACACTTTGAGAAAAAATGACGGTAAATCCTGGATAATTTTTTTGCCAAACTTTACCGTACTTCAAAAACCAGTATCCTCCGTACAGTCTACAGTATTTACCGTACTTGTTTTACAAAATATTCCGTAGTCTCTTAACAGTAGTTACTGTTCTTCCGTACAGTCCATGCCGTAGGAAATTCCAGATCTGGTCCCAACAAAGGCCGCTTCCAAGAAGTGTCCACATCAGGATCTTGAAAAAAGGGGGTCGACCGACTGAAAAATTTTATTGCACCTTTCAATAGGTCTCGTCAAGACCTTTCCAACGAGTGGTCGGAAGAGGGGTCCAGGAGTCCGACTTCAGCAGTTGCGTACATCAGGAACTTGGAAAAAGAGGGTCAACCGACTGAACAAAATTATAGCAGTTTTTGATAGGTATTAAAAGTACGGGATTGCCGGGGAAAAATGTACGGGATTCCCTGTAAAAAAAAAGTACGGCGTTTCCTGTAAAAACAAGTACGGTATAAGCGTTCTAACGTTCAAGACCGCACCGTGTCGATTTGAATATTTGCAGTCCTGTAGTCACACCGTCGGTTGGCAATTGTTCTGCAACTTCTGCATTGGAGGGGACACTTTTGTATGGGGACATAAGAATTTGGCTCAAATTAACAGGGGACGAATTGCCTTGGGGACGATGTTCATGGGGACATCCACTCTACAAATCTTAAAGCGTGCATTGTATGCTCTTTCTGGACCATGCCTGCAAGCAAGCACGCTCTAGCTAGAGCATGCTTGCCACTCTAAAAACTGAAGAGAGTGCATGGCATGCTTCTCCAAGGAGTCAACCACAAAGCACGCCCTTCCCAAGAGCATGCTTTCAAGCACACTCTTTCCAGGAGCATGCTTGGCAAGCACGCTCTTCCTAGGAGCATGCTTGCAAGCACTCTCTAAGATGAAAGCGTGCCTCTTCGTTAGTCCATATCCCAGAGAGTGCTTGCAAGCATGCTCCTGGGAAGAGTGTGCTTGGAAGCATGCTCTTGGGAAGAGCGTGCTTTGTGGTTGACTCCTAGGAGAAGCATGCCATGCACTCTCTTCAGTTTCTAGAGCAAGCGTGCACTAAAAGCGCATACATGCTATGAACACGCTTCCTGATACAGACAACTTTTGCACTATGAGTTTTGGTTAGGGTGTACATGCCACGTATGCACTTCTTAGTGCATGCTTGGCAGGCATGCGCTAGGTAGAGCGAGCTTGCAGGCATGCTCCAGTTAGAGCATACAATGTACGCTCTTCGATTTGTAGAGTAAAACAGAACCACGAGTAAATGCGTCGAGTTTTCACAGAAACGCCAAATCAATTTCAGACCTTTATTACAGAGATCCTCATGAACAACAAAAAGGATATTTAAAAAAAAAAAGAATATTAATACAAACGCAATGGCCGTCATAAAAAGAAGGCATACGAGCCAACAGTGAAAAGAAAATAGAAATCAAGGCGCACGATCTCATGAATATTTCACACTTAGGGAAACAAACTTAGAGACAGCTAAACGGTCAACTAGAAAACTATCAGGCCACACATCGCCTAATGAAAGTTAAAATTCAGTTCCACGGTAGGGCGCTTCGTTTTGAAGTCCTTTACCAACTTCTTGCAACGAAGTTCTTCATTCTTCAGTTCGTGCCATCGCGCCTCGACTAGGAAGCCTGCAACAAAAAATGAAAGCACTCAACTTCGCGTCGTACGAGGGCTGATAGTCCGCTGAGCGATTCACACGTTGCGGGGTAGTTTTGACGTCTCTGATTTGCCGAAAGTGAGAAATATCCAAATCAGGTTTCGTGACAACTCCAGTCCTGAATTTGCTGTCAGAAATTTTCGAGAAAAATTGAAAAATTGCGGAGTGTTACTGAAACTTCTGCATGGAGCTCACCACAACAACAAGCTTTGTCCCAAAAGTCTCGGCATTTTGAACAAAAATGCATGCTTCACTATCAGGAAATGACGACAAAAAGGTTTGTAACCAGTTAAAAAATAAGGGAAAGGTAACCCCTTCCGTTTTTAGCTCAGATTTCATAATATTAGGGGAAACGTACAGGATTTAGGGCAAATGAGCTCCAAGGAGATTGTCCCTTCTTTTGCCATTTCAGACTTAAGAATGCCTCGGCGAAGCCCTCTTTAACACAACTGAGAAATGACGTGCATTTTAACTCCCATCAGGACCCACTCCGAAGAACATTTTTTTAAGCCCTGAGAGAAACTCCCCGAAAAAAGGTGGAAACTGAACGGAGTCTCCATGAACGTGATTATAGGGTTTTTCTCCATAACATTTCGGAGCTAATTTCTATCAGTGTATATAGATGCATACTTGGGTAAGTTAGGTATGCATGTGTTATGTGTATTAGCTAAGTACGCATCTGTAGATGTGTAATGAGCTTTGTATGTATGTGTAGATGTGAACTTATCCAAGTATGCATCTGTACACTGTCATTTAAACTGCGATAACCACGTTCTATTTTTAAAATAAAAATCTTATCACATTTGTGGAAACAGCCTAGTGCGCGCGTGAAGCTATGCGCGCCGCTCGGGCCGGCAAGGAGCGGCCGGGCGGCTGGGCCGCGCGGCCGAACCAAATTAAACAGAACTTTGTCAAAACTGCATCGAACTGAGTAAACGAGGTCATTTTTAGATTCTACGCAAAATTTCCTATCCGTGAGTGACAATGGAATGGACTTTTGGATATGTGAAACAGTTCTAAAATCAATTTGAAAACCAAATTTACGGCACCAGACAGCCGACTTGAAGTTTCCCTTTCACTAAAAAAGCTATTTCCGTTCGTTTTAGGTCCATACATACAGCGAGCCGATTGTTGGCCACTATTTTCCGGGTTGCGTGGTACACTTGGAACGCCGATACGACTTCTGTAGCAGAAATGCCAATCCAAAAACTAATTTCCATTTTTGGTCCAAAATTGTATTTTGCAACTTTGGAGGTTAAAAGCACAGTTTGAAATAGGTTTCTTAGCATTGTCAACCTCACTAAGCAACCCAGAATTCAATTCTCTATCGCCCTGCTGTGTTAGATTTGCAAAAGGAGGTCAAACTTCTAATTGAAACGAAAAGGCCCGAAGCGCTGCAAAACCGCCAAAACAGTTCAAGTATTTTGAGGAGCTTAATGTGTAAAAACTAGTTCTCAGATTGTAAATCCAACCACACCGCCTTGTAGGCCAGTCAATTCTACAGCTCCATTGTAAGTTTCATCGCAATCGGAGACCAAGAGTAAAGACAGCAATAATAATTGTAAATCCCATCAGTTTGGTTGATTGGTCGAGCGGGCGCAAGTATGAGAAATCGCTGCGGCAGATTTTTGCAGCTTACTTTAAAATATATTCTGCCGCCTTCACTTTTGGTCTCCGATTGCGATGAAACTTACAATGGAGCTGTAGGATTGGCTGGCCTACAAGGTGGTGTGGTTGGATTTACAATCTGAGAAATAGTTTTCACACATTAAGCTCCACAAAATACTTGAACTGTTTTGGCGGTTTTGCAGCGCTTCGGGCCTTTTCGTTTCAATTAGAAGTTTGACCTCCTTTAGCAAGTCCAACACAGCAGGGCGATAGAGAATTGAATTCTGGGTTGCTTAGTGAGGTTGACAATGCTGAGAAACCTACTATAAACTGTGCTTTTAACCTCCAAAGTTGCAAAATACAATTTTGGACCAAAAATGGAAATTAGTGTTTGGATCGGCATTTCTGCTACAGAAGTCGTATTGGCGTTCCAAGTGTACCACGCAACCCGGAAAATAGTGGCCAACAATCGGCTCGCTGTATGTATGGACCTAAAACGAACGGAAATAGCTTTTTTAGTGAAAGGGAAACTTCAAGTCGGCTGTCTGGTGCCGTAAATTTGGTTTTCAAATTGATTTTAGAACTGTTTCACATATCCAAAAGTCCATTCCATTGTCACTCACGGATAGGAAATTTTGCGTAGAATCTAAAAATGACCTCGTTTACTCAGTTCGATGCAGTTTTGACAAAGTTCTGTTTAATTTGGTTCGGCCGCGCGGCCCAGCCGCTCCTTGCCGGCCCGAGCGGCGCGCATAGCTTCACGCGCGCACTAGGCTGTTTCCACCCCCTGGATTTTCTTTGGCCATAATGGCTACTGTAAATCTGCAATAAAAATTTCGTGGCAAAATTTTGCAATAACGTGTTACTTTCATGAGATAATGACAACAAACGTTACCGCAAAAAAATGTGATAAAGAGTACTACAAAAGTTGCGCACTTTTATTGCAAAAATGAGGAGTAGATATTGCAAAAAGAAACATGCAAAAATTTAATCATTGCACTCCAGGGGGCGATAATTCGTGGGAATCGCAAACTCGGCTCCATCGCAGAAAAATTGTAGTAAACGTATTGCAAAATGGATGACAGTGTATACGCATACTGAGAACACACTACGGTTTGTAGAGTTCTAACGAATAGTTTATCACATCAGTTGCCTAAAAGTCAACTTACACTCTTCGTCGTTGTCCCTGTTGACCCACAGCTCCAGGAAGGTGAGCTTGGCGACGCGCTCGCAGGCGTCGAACACGCGCTTGATTGCCTCCTCGGCGCGCTGCCGCTCCGGGTACAGGTGCAGGACGAGCTCGGCGAGGGCCGGCATGCTGGGCAGGTGCGGGGCGAGGGCCGCGGGGCCCTCCAGGAACGAGAGGCGCTTGCAGCCCGCCACACTGGCCATCAGCGCCGGCGTCACGGCGGCGCGGTAGTCCGGGATCCTGAGGGCGAGCCAACGGAGTCAGGCTAACTGCTTACTGCTTCAGGAACCTGCACTCTAAATGTTAATGTACAATATCGTACGTGGTGATGCATGATTTTAAACCCGTGTACCGTCGTGCATAATTAAGGGGGCACACCAGTGAAAATGCAGAGGTTTCGAAAAACGATCATTCTGAGAAAAGTAACCGTTGTATTCGATTGATATTTTATTCTTGGCTCAAAATTATGTCAAAGAAAAGGAAAATCAGTACGGGAGAGCGAGGTGGCGATGGCAAGATGAAGCGCTAGTGCACTTCGTTTTTCTGTGACCTTGCCTCACTCCTGCCACGATTCCGCCTCTCTGGATTGAGTTTCGCGCACGGGATTTGAAAATTTCTCAACAGGACACATGTGGCTATGGTCTGAACCACGGGCATGCAAAAAGAATGATTTCGAATTTGTTTTTCAGAAGGCAAAAATAGAAACAAATTTTTTAACCAATTTTTTCACACTTTCATGGCTGCAGCTCACGTCCTATTTATGGGATGGCCATTTCCGAGGTTCAGACCATAAACGCAAGTGTAACGAACATTTTGCCGCAAACCGCATTAAATTATCTTAATTTTTGCGCCCGTGAGAGTGGCACAAAGGTTCAAAAAAGGTGTTTTGAGAAAAAGCCCTATAATTGAAAACATAGATTTGACGTGTTTTTTTCGGATTATAAATGCGTCTTTTGACGTATTTTAGTTCAGTTTGCGCCAAAATGTTCCTCTTTTCAACTGCGTTTGGGTGCTTCAAGGGTTTTGTAATTGAAGGTCAATTGAAAAACCTGAACGTTGACAATTGGTCAAAAATATGCAAAAATAATTACCTTTTTAGCAACTTCAAAAATGTGCACAAGCCAAAGTGATCGGAATTTCGGGGTGGGGTTTGCGGCATTCGACTCGGGATGAATAGCAGAAAATTAAGATAAAATAAAAGAGAAGGCAAAAATTTGACGATTTTCACTGGTGTGCCCCCTTAAGCGTGAATGTGAACAAATGTATGCATCTTTACGCACGATATTACGCAAATTCAACGTATGCACAAAATCGAGCAAAGTTGCACGTACAAATTTCTACCTTAACATTTAGTGTGTGGTAGTTCGCGCGCCACACTCCGAATATGTGACGAAGAAATTTCCTATAATACGAAGGAAACGTCGCAAGCATTATATGAAGGGAGTTTTTGTTCGTACCTTTCAACACACTTATTCTTGTGGACTTTTTGGACTTTTCCACACATTATTCAGCACTTTTCATGCACATACTCTTAAGATGGGAAATACCCATTGAAGCCCCTTTTTTTAAAGTGCCTCGTTTTCATTGAAAACTCTTTCCTACCTTAAGGAGTTTAATTTTGTCTTGTAATGTGTTCCTTATAGATTCCAAATTCAGCCAGACATTTAACCCAAGTACCCTATGAGTGTAGAAAACTTCGGCCAAAAAACAACGCTGCCAACCTGCGGTGCGCACGTTTTCTCGAAAAGTACACTGTTAAAAAAAATTACTGAAAATTCATAATTTTTTGTAAGAAGTCGATTTACTTACATTCAGTCTGAATTTTCATACCAAAACTTTCATACTTCGCGGTCTGAAAGTTTCAGACGACGTTAGTCTGAATTTTCAAATCAACATGTTGTATGAAAAATGATACCAGTCGGTCTATTTTATCAGACTAAGTTGTACGAAGACATTGAACAGTCGCACTAAACAATGCCACTCTGTAGAGTAGAGCACAAATCGGCGAACTTTTGCCATCGGTTTATCGCAGACGCTCAGCGGATCGTCTCGGCTCAAAAATTAAGTACACGGCAGCAGGCTCCTTCTTGCAAAGGGAGTGAAGAGGCTAGAGGTGACTGCTGAATTGCGAGGGAGAGCGGCCTTAGCCCAACCACGCGCCGACCCGTGGCCATGCGCGAGAGTGAAATTGTATTCTTTGTTATTTAGCTTATACTGCACTTATTAACCTGAATCTTGCTTTGGTGCGCTCATGCCCTTTCAGACAATCACTTGGAATAAGTTTGTAACAAAATATTCGCAATTTCGCCTTCAAGTGGCAATTTTAGCTCCAAAAGATCATCCATGCGACACTAGTGCCACCTAGCGGATAGAGCAACAAGTGTCCATTTCGGAGCTCTGAAACATTCTCTATGCTTTTACGACACTAAACGTAAATATTATTTGAAATACAACAGTAGTGTTGATAAAAGTTCTGAGAAAATCGAAAAATGTACAAAGGGGACGGGGTTTTTTCACTCGTTTTCCGATTTCACTAGTATGAATTTAGTTTTCGGACGACAATGTACAAAACTTGATAGCCATCGCTCTAAATATTCTGACTTGCTAGTCTAAATTCAAATTTCAGACAACAGGTCAAACTTTTCAGACAGTTGGTCTTAATATTCGTACCATTTTATGAATTTACGATTCAGACCACCAAGTAAGACGAAATCAGTCTGAATTTTCATATTTTTTTTAACAGTGTAATTGATCTCCAGGTCCAGGTATTCTGTACAGGATACTTGACACATATATCTAGTTCACACCGTCGCCCTTTTTGGAAAGTGAGTTCCAGTTTTTTTGTAAATAAGGCTGAAAAGTGAAAATAGAGAGTCAATACGTCATTTTTTTCACTCTTCTGCCGTGTTTCGGCGACGCTGTCATGTCAGAGCAAAATTTGACGAGACTACATGTCTCACCATGCTGTGACGCGAAGTCTTCCCGTTCAACTAGCAGTGTCAGACTTACCTGGGGTGCCTCAGAATGGAGTCCTGCGGCCGGCCGTAGTCCCTGTTGAGGTCCAGCCCGGCCAGTGTGGCAGCAGCGCCGTCAATGAGGTCGCACACGAGGCGCTCCCCGCAGATGCCGCCGTCGCCGCGGTTCATGAACAGCTTGCGGAGCCGGGGCAGCTTGCCTCTCAGCTCGCCAGCGTACGGGTAGTCCCTGCCGGACAAAGCCGAGTTCAATGTGCACACTGACATTCTCGAGGGGCCCACCACTCAGCTCAGGGTTGTGCCTGATCACGTAGAGAGAATAATAAAAAAAACTGAATTATATTGGCCAGCTCAGAGCATTTTGGCCCATTTTCACAAGAAAACCCCCAAAATCTGGTAAAAACAGCGAAAATAGCCACTTTTGACGTGAGATTACCAACGATTACTGGACGAAGTCTACACACACACACACACACACACGAGTACCAGAGTGGTGGACTTCTCGGATATTCCAAACGCTACGAGTTCTGCTGCTTACAAAGTTATTAAACCAGACATAAACTGTACTAATGTCTTTTTTACTATGCACAATTTCGATCGTTTCTTTATAAAATTTTGAACAGATTAAATATAAATTATAAACTATAATTAAAAGTTAATGGTAGGGTAATGAACGAAATACCCAATAATGAACAAATCGTACGAAGTGAAAAAGTGAAAAGTACGAATTCCGTTTTCACCAAAAACTTTTTGGCTAGAGATGAACGGTCCATACGAGGCTGAAAATGTGCACTCACCAGGAGGCGTCCAGTGACAGGCACTCCAGGGTGGGCATCTGGGCCAGCACGTCCAGCACGGTGCGGCCCTGACTGTCACGCAGGGGGCCTCGCTTGGAGGCGGGCACGTCGTCAGAGATATCCTCCTGAAATAAAAAGACAACACAAAAGAATAAGAAATTGGAATCGAGCACGCCTGCGGAGAGTCGATGCCTTGTTTAGGTGCAAGAGTACAGATTCTGGTGGGGAAACTTCACAAATACGTGGTCATAATGGTCTGACAGTTAGGTTTGCAGTGTAGGTGACATCACGTTGAAACGAACGTGACAATATGTCACATTCGTTCGAGCATTGTGTCACATTCGTTTGAATGTGAACAAGCTGATTTTTGGCCGATTCACATCCAAATGAACGTGACACTTTGTCGGAGTGTACTTGCGAGTACACGCTGAACAGAGTGTGCTGAGCACACTGTTGAGTTTGCAACCCACTCAAACGCATGGTCAAGTCATTCAAACACACGTGACACAAATTTCGAAATTTCTTGTGACATTCTGGTGCACCTACCTGTCTGCTGAGCTGCACCGTGGCCCCAACTAAGTGGTTGCGGCTGCGCCACATCATGTCCAGCAGGGCCGAGCGGCCACGCAGCGTCATGTGCCAGGAGGTCATCTCGTGGACCTGCAAGCACAACCCCAAAGGCCTGTCACATCTCACCCAACGTAAACTGTTACCGAAGTCTGCTCAAGACTCACATATAAAAGGAAGAAACCTTCACAGTCCAAAAGAAATAAGAAGACGAATTTGAGAGAGAACTGACTAGTTCCAGGGTTATTTAAAAAAGACACTCTCAGCACGCACGCTTAAAACCTTACGAAATATTTTGAGCATACATTGGCCAAACTCATTTACTTTGATCTACGAAGAAATAGTTCGTGAATCACGAGGTATTTTCTTACCTTACACAGGGGGTGGCAACGCCCTGCATCTTTCTTGACGCCATGTTCGGCCGCCCCTTGCACATTAGTTTACTTCGACGAGATCCAAAGAACTAAGTACATTAGAGCCAAGCTGTTTTTTCATTACGATAACATATGAACTGAGGAAGTGTTTAGGCCAGGTTTCAACTCAAAAACTCAAAAACTTTCCAAGATTAACGTTTTGTTAATATAAGTAGACACTTTTCTTGTAGCGATTTTAACAAAACCCTATTTTTCTCTTGTTTTCGCGATGCGGTTTCAAGGAGTGAATTGATCGTAAGTGTGCTCTCGTTTAATTATTACTTCAATATGACCTTTTAACTTGATGCCGCACTCAAGTTTCATTCGATTCCTTTGCTGGGTTCAGAGAGTATCTCCTTGAAAAGAACCATGATTTAAGGGGGGGTCGAACATGGCGTCAGCATACGTGTACAGCGTTGCCACCCCCTGCCTTACATTTGCTCAAAATAATTTGTTATGACAAGCTACTTTTGTTTGTGAGGCCTTAAATGATCCAGGAAGCGGAAGAAGGGAATAACTTGACTTATCCCAAAATTGAGTTTTTATTATATTATTGTGCCTTAGAAGGGTTTACATCATTACACCAAATTATTTGACTTAATTGCAAGCAGTTTAGGAGAAAATCCATACGGAAAAAGGGTTAACTCACCTTAACCCCTTTTACGGTCTAAATTTCATTGGAAAATGGAGATAACTCAACCGAAGTCGACATGAGTCCGTTTACAAATTGGCAAAAGGATATAACTCAACTTGTATTTTTATAAATCTAGTGTAAACAGAATCTTCAATTTGGAAAAAAGAGCTGAGTCCAAAAAATACACCAGAGTAACATACACTTTATGCATACTATTGTTCCACTTGACTTGTCTCCAAATTCCTCTTTGTTTAGGAAATATAAGGTGAGCTGACTCTGTTTTCCATTTCAAGGGAAAGTGATAAGTCGCAGAAATCCTCTACTAAGTGACCTTACACTTTTGATTTTTTCTTTCAAAATTTTACTAATGCTTTTTGAAATTATTAACATCTACAACATTCATTTGTTTTGTTTTAATTTTCTCTGCTAACAGTTTTTGGTTTCTCCTGGAAAATGGCCAAAATTGAGTTATCCCCTTCTTCCGCTTCCTGGATCAAGGATCAAATAGTTGGCAAGTTTTTCAGAGAGCGTTACTGCTACGGTTGAGTTGTCTTTATATTCCGATAAAATTGAGACTCTACAAGGGGCTTAGGTTGAGTTCTGACCTGTTTCCATGTGGATTTTCTCTTTAACTGCAAGTAATTGAGTTTAACAATTGGGCTAATGATGCAAACCTGAGGCAAAATAATACCACTCTGGAGTTTACAAGATATTCCTTTCTTCCTGGCTCAATTAAGAGCAAATGGGTAGTTCTTTCTCAAATCGCACGACCCCCGAAATCGATGTCTGGGATTCGGACCAAACTTGGTGGACTCTTGCTTGGGTCCCCAAAAACCAATTTTCTGACCCCAAAATTTTTTTTTTTGCTCTAAAAATTTTTTTTTTCCCCTAAAAGTGTTAAAAAATGGACCAAAAATCAAATTTTTCGTCCAATTGACCCTACATTGTGCAAAGTTGTTTTTTCAACGTTTTTTGATTTTATTTATCCTATTTTATTTCCCATCAGAAATGATTTTTAAACCACAAAAAACCATGAAAAACGAAAATTTTTTTAACTTTTTCTTGAATACCCAAAAAATGCATCCGAATTTTTTCATGAAAATTTGTTTTTAAATTCATCTTTTGGTCCTCTAACATGTGTCAAAAAATTGGGAGATTTAAATTTGAATTGCCTTCAAAAAAATTTTTTTTCCCATTTTTTTCAAAGAAAATTTTCACTGAAATGACTCAATTTATCAAGTTTTTAGAAAGACTATTCAAGTCTCATGGCCCCTGGGTCCTCCGGGGTGGGCGGGGATGTTGGAAATGTTTACTGAGTAATAGTAGTTTAAAGATGTTTTTTTTAATTATTTTAAATGGTTGACAGGCAATACCGGTAAGTTCCCCTAGACTCCAACGAAGTCCCGGCCCTTAGGCCCCGATCCGACCCCGACCCGGTCCCGACTTGGGCCCAGACCCAACCCCGCCCCGGGCCGACCCCCGGCAAAGACCCGCTCAGACTCGGCCAAGGGGCCGGGCCGGCCGACACCCGGCGCCCTTAGGAATCCAGCAAACCCTTTGGCTAAGCCCCGGCAGAGTCCGACCGACCGGCCAAGTCCGGCCACGGTGTAAGAGTGCACCACCCGAAGAGTGGTCTACCTACACTGTGCCCGGCGGAACCCGCCCCAGTCCGGACTTACGGTGTAGGGAGACCACTCTTTGGGTGGTGCACTCTTACACCGTGGCCGGATTTGGGCCCGGCCCCGGTCGGACTCTGCCGGGGCTTAGCCAAGGTTTTGCCGGATTCCTATGGGCGCCGGGTGTCGGCCGGGTCTTTGAGGGTCTCGGCCGGGTCTTTCCCGGGTCTGGGCCCGGTCTGGGCCGGGTCTGGGCCGGGTCGGGGCCAAGTCGGGACCGGGTCGGGGTCGGATCGGGGCCTATGGGCCGGAGTCTGGGGCAACTTACCGGTATTGCCTTCAACCATCTAAAAAAATTTAAAAAATAAAATCTTGAAGCTACTTCTACTCAGTAATACATTTCCAACATCCCTGCCCATCCAGGAGGACCCAGGAGCCATGAGACTTAAATAGTCTTGCTAAAAACTTGAAAAATTGAGTCATTTCAGTAAAAATTTTCTTTGAAAAAAGTGGAAAAAAATTATTTTGAAGGAAATTCAAATTTAACTCCCCCAAATTTTTTTGACACATGTTAGAGGCCCAAAAAGATAAATTTTAAAAACAAATTTTCATGAAAAATTCGGATGCATTTTTTGAGTATTCAAGAAAACTTAAAATTTTGTCTTTTTTCATGTTTTTAGTGGTGTTAAAAATCATTTCTGAGTGGGATAGGAAAAAATGGGATAAAATAAGATAAAAAGACGTTGAAAAAACAACTTTGCACAATGTAGGGTCAATTGGACGAAAATTCGTTTTTTGGTCCTTTTTTTAAACACTTTTGGGGGAAAAAATTTTTTTAGAGCAAAAAAAATTTTTGGGGGTCAGAAATTTGGGTTTTTGGTGACCCAAGCAATGAGTCCCCCAAGTTTGGTCCGAATCCGAGACATCGATTTCGGGGTCGTGCGATTTGAGAAAAAACTACCCAAATGTAGATTTTACCCCTTGAAGGTAAGATCCTATTTAGCAAAACAAAACTATGTGGAAGAAAGTGACAAGAGAGGGAGATTTCCACCAGAACCTCCCCTTCGGGAAATGGAGGAGGAGACACTAACCGTGAAGTACTGCGTCACGACAGTCCTGCTGCGGCGCAGCGCGTTCACCAGCCGCTTCATGCCCTTCTCCGGCATGTCCGCGCAGAAGTTGATGCAGTTCAGTGCGGGGGCGTGGAGCAGAATGCGCGCCGCGTCAGCCGTCGACACGCGGAGGCTGTCCTCCTTCAACTTCTCCCACGCCGCGGACACTGATGAGAACAGAAAAAAATAATTTTTTGATCCCAGTAACCTTAGTTTGAACATTTATACACTAATAATGGGAAATATACTCTGCAAACTTAAGTGTGTACATAGCACACTCTTATTTTCAGCATACTTGCTAGGTCAGGGGTTCCCACCCCCGGGGTCGCGACCCCATTTGGGGTCGCGGAAAATTTTTGTAGGGTCGCGGCATGCTATCTGGTCGCGTGGGGTCGCGAGTTGGCTTATTACAAATTTTGGCCCTCTATTTTAAATACACTCAAACCCTCTAAATTCGGTCAAAATTCAAAATGTGACAGTTCATTTTCGAAAAAAATCCCCCTCCCCCCGAAAAAAAGATGGGGTCGCTTAATTTTGTTCCTGGGGTCGCGAAAATTTTGGAAGGATTTTGGGGGGTCGGGGGCTAAAAAAGGGTTTGGGAACCGCCGCGCTAGGTACACGCTAAAATAGAGTGTACATTGCATGTACACTGCAAACCTAACTGTCTACTGAGTACACACTTACAAATGCGTGCTTGCAAGTACACACTTACAAACGCATGCTTGACGCATGGAGTTTTACGGCGTCAAGCATGCGTTTGTAAGTGTGTACTTCCAAGCATGCATTTGTAAGTGTGTACTTTGCCACGCATGCGTTTGTAAGTGTGTACTTGCAAGCACGCTTTTGTAAGTGTGTACTCAGTAGACAGTTAGGTTTGAAGTGTACACGCCAAATAAAGTGTACCTGGCAAGTACACTTAAACTGGCCCATGCTTTTAGATGGGACTAATCGAGTGTATTTTAGTGTGTACTTGCCAGGCACACTCTATTTTAGCGTGTGCCTAGCAAGTCTGCTGTAAGTAAGAGTGTACTTGTAAGTATGCTCTAATAAGAGTGTACTATGTACACACTTCAGTTTGCTGAGTGGCACTCAACAGAGCAAATTTGAGTACGTGGTAAGATGTGCTCCAAGCCACAATGAAAATCAACTAAACGGACGCAAAAACATCACGGTGAAAACTGTTCCTGGCTTTCCCAGGAACTCCCTGGAAATGACCTATGTCTTCACCACTGGCCTCCTGCGAAAACCAGGTTCCGTTTTTCCCGCGTACACTCGGTTGGCTGAGGAGAGCGTCCCTTACCGTCATCGTCTTCATCGCCGCTGGAGTCGGCGAGACGCATGCTGCCGAAGCGCAGCCCGGAAGCCTTGCGGGCCTTGGGGTCCGTGCCGTCCCAGGCAAGCTCGGCACTGGCCCAGGCCAGGGGATCCTTTGAGAGGTTGCGCCACTGCTTGCAGACCAGAGGCACCACGTCCAACAGCGTCAGCGGGCAGCGCAGCTTCCCGAAGATGCACACCACCAGTTCTGGAGGCAGCGTGTCCATGGCGTTGAGCCACCAGGAGCTCGCTGGAGAACAAAGATTTGAAATATTTAGCAGAATTCGGCCAACCCAACAGTGTCGTCCTCAGAACTAGGCTCTGTAGAACGCGTTCTCATTTGAGCGCACCTCTAGGGCACTGTCATTATAACAGTTTACGCCTCGGAGAGGGTACCCAGTTGAGAACACACCCAAGCACTCTTCAAAGCGAAGAGCGTACATTGTATGCTCTAACTGGACACTGTAAGAAAAAGTGTAGATAGTACAACAAAAGTACCACAGAAACTGTACAAAAAAAAGTACAACAGGGATTGTAGAAAGTACAACGAGAATTGTACAAACTACAGCGAGCCCTGGACTGCACAGCATTCCTCATGCCGGTTCCATTGTACTTTGTACAACAATTGTTGTACTTGATAAGTGCACTAAGTACCTGATAAAAAATTTGCCAGAAATTTGTTTACTTTTGTTGTGGTTATTTCCTGCAGTGGAGCATGCCTGGAAGCACGCTCTAGCTAGCGCATGCCTGCCAAGCATGCACTTACTAGTGCATACATGCCAGGTACACGCTTCCTGATGCAGGCAACTCCCAACACTCTTAAAACCTTACGAAGTATTTTGAGCATACGTATAACAAACTAAAATACTTTGTTAAACGAAGAAATAGTTCGTAAATTACGAAGTATTTTCTTTTTAAGCTTACGTATGCTCAAAATACTTTGTTATACAAACTACTTTTCTTTGTAAGGCCCAAAATAGTTTGTAAGGTTTTCTCAGTGTATCCCTTAGGCACTAGATGCATGCTTCAGTTGCCGTGTACTTGGCATGTATGCACAAGTAAGTGCATGCCTGGCAGGCATGCGCTAGGTAGAGCGTGCTTGCAGGCATGCTCCATTTGGGAGCATACAATGTACGCTCTTCGATTTGTAGAGCATGCCTTGCAATTAATGCAGCTGAAAAGAAGTCACCTGAGTACACTGTTGCGTTTCCTGACAACTTTCAGTGAAAAACGTAGATCTCCGTGAAAGCTTACACACTCTACAAAAAATGTCCTGCCAACGCCTTTAATTTATTACCAATGTTTGCTGTTATGCAATTCACGGCGTTTGCTGTGAACTAGTTCACGGCGTTCACTGTGATCTGGGTTTTACAGTGTTCACTGTGATCTGGCCACAGAAAACCCCGTGAATTGGAGCCTGTTTTGCAGTACTTCGGTGCTTAGCGGCGTCAAACTCACAGTGTTTACGGGGAACCAGATCACAGTGAACACCGCGAACAAGATCACAGTGAATCCCGTGAGCAGATCACAGTAAACGCTGTGAATTGACCTACAGTGAAAACTGGTAATAAATTAACGGCATTTACAGGACATTTTTGGTAGAGTGCACTGTAATTGCAAGTACGAGACAGTCTCAGTGCAAAGCACGATGTCTCACGCTTGCAAGTGTGAGACACGGTTTGTCCCACACTTGCTGCCGGTTCAATGACACGCTTACAGGAGTAAGACAAACCGTGTCACAGTTGCAAGGACTTGGGACAAACGTGGCTCACACTGGTAACGTGAGACACAGTGGTACGCACTAAATAAGTGAGATTGTCACAAAATTGGAATAGCCAGATAGGGTTTGGGGTTTTTCGATATCAGTGATTTCTTGGGCTTTAAGGGCACCTCGTAGTTTATGACCCACTAAACGTTTCAGAAACCAAAACTGGCGAGTAGATCCTATTTTTCGGCATACGTAATAATAGCTACCGAATTGAGCACTCTGGCCGTCGCCGATCAAAGAACAAGGGTCATTCTTTGTCAGATCACCACAAGCCCCAAATTTGAGGGTCTCAGATCGGCCTGGAAACCTCAAAAACTCATTAAGGGTGTTCCCCTGACCCACCCTGCAAAAGGATTTGACTGGGAAAAATTTTGCCTAATTTTAATCACATTTCTTGTTTTTAGTCTTTCGCTAAATTTGAATTTGTCGCAGAATTTCCCCAGAGTGAACCGTTACTCGTATTCACTCCCCGTAAAGTTTTTTTTGGGCGACTAGTGATACAGAAAAAGGAAAAAATTGCCGGCAGGTGGTCATAAAAATTTCCCAAAAAATTTTTAAGAAAAACTACTAAAAAATTTGTAAAAAATTGAGTTTGGCAAAATACATCGTATTAGTATGGTGATGATATTTGGTGAAAAAGTACCTCTTTACTAGTCGATCAACCCTGAAAAAGTCCCCTGTCTGGCCCGGGGCTCCCTTTCCCTGATCGGGGCCCGAAATAGATTTCTGATGGCTCGTAAAGCTCATAGAATGGTATCGTAACCAGCCATATCATTCAGAAAGCCATTTCCAGTGTGCAATACAAATCACTTTCACTTCAAAATGATGTTTTGGTATCAAGGCAACAGTATTTGGGGTGAGGCTTGCCAAAAAGTGCATTGAACGGTATTCAAATGTAACAAATAGCAGTGGTTTCAGCATGTTCTTGTAAATCATTTAACGCCTACACTAGTTTGGGTTCAAAAACTCAACTTTTATTCCTTAAAATTTTTTTTTGATGTTTTTTTTTGATTTTTGCTTCTTTCCCGAAAAGAAAACAAAATTAAAATTGATTAAAAAATTACATTACATACCATGAATTTGGCTAATCCAATATTATTTTCCCATTACCTTGTGGATTGTTGGCTGGCTCTTTGTGAGGGGTGTATTCCTTTCTTTTCTTCCTTCCTGTAGCAGAAGTTGAAACTGCACAAAAAAAAAAAAATTAAGTCTCAAAAAATTTAAATGGTATAGCAATTATTGTTGGAACAATTGTATCACCTTCACTAGCACCTCTATCCTGATTTTCTGCTGTCACTTCAGTTTGTTGAGTAATAACATTGGTTGCAGTGACTGGGCTTCTATGCAAGGCTGCAAAACATAAAACAGAAACAGAGTTTTTGTTATAAGGACTAAAAAATACATACACTTTGATTCATAGTTTAAAGAAAAATTTAAAGGATTGTTTCCTTAATTTTTCATTACCTTGCGATGATTTTAGCTGCCATTTGATTTTTGCAATGTCATTACTTGACAATAAGAACCCAGCACCCGCTGGCTCTGGCTGTACTGCTGTCAGGATTTCAGTAAGAGGCACTGAAATTTCTTCATTAGCATGAACAAAATTATTTCCTCTTGTAGCTTCTAAGAGGGACATCAAAATTTCCTCTGATTCATGGTCCACTAAAATAACTTCCCCTATTTTCCATTTCTCATTATAGAGAAAAGAAGCAAGTTGTCCAGGATTCAAGTCAGTTAGAGATGGTTGTTTCCGGATCAACATGGTGGGTGCAAACTGACCACTTTTAGCGTAAGAAAAGATTTTGGTTTCCACCTCTCCAGGTCCCAGGGGTAATACTGAATGCTGACTTCTCATTTTGAAGATCTTCAATGCTTCAATAAATCTTTTCTTTAATAGCTCTTCAGTGTGCTGAACTTCTTCAGATGAAACAAACTGTACATGAATGTTCTTGATTTCTTTCTTGGCCCATTCAAAAAACTCTCGTGGATTTCTAATTAGTGTTTGTCTGATGCTGGCCAAGTAGGCACTTCTTTTTAAAGCTCCAGCTTGACCATCACATGGTCCTTTGCCATGTGAGGTGCCAAAGAAATTCCATTCAGCATCCACTCCAAAGTCTTGTAAATGAAAGCTAATATTCAATACATTAAATCTATTTTTGTATTGTTGGGCTGCACCATCAGAAAAATATATAACTTTATGGAACGGTGAAATGTGCTCTTTCAAGAATTCGATATGCTTCTTTTGAAAAGCAAACACAGCACTTATGTCATGTTTCATGTGATCAGAAATTACTGCAGAGCTGATAGATTTCAGCTCCCCATTCTCTTTGTAATATGAGACAAAGGGATGAATAGTCACCTGATCATTTTGCCAATAATAATTCTGAATTGAGTCTTGAACAATGCACGTGTAATTTTCAGCAAAATCACACATAGTGAGAACTTCACCCTCCTTTAGATCTTCTTTCCGTTTCTTGAAATATTTTGACTGCTCTTTAGAAATAAAGTGATGAGGCAACAATTTCTCAAGCTGGTCAATAAACATATCCAGAAATTCTTCATAATCTTTTGTCTTTGTATCCAGACTACATCTGTCAGTATCAGTCCACTGATTAAATGTTACTGTATCAATAAAGTTGTCAGTCAAAATCCCTCTTAATTTTGACTTCAAGGCTTCTGTTCCTGGACATTTTGGACAGCAACTATTTATGTAGCAGTCTGGTGTGGGTGGGTCACAAATAACAGCATTTATATAATCATAGTATGTACTCAGTGAACTGTCAAATTGTTTGAAGTTAGCAGCCTCCAGGAGTAACTTAAAGTTTTGATGATGTTTGCAGACACAAACGCTGTGAGTTCCTGATGCACTTGCAAGCACACAGTGTTTGGGGCGAAGACTGGCAAATTTAGAAAATGACACCTTGATTGATGGATATTTTTCTTTGAAGGCACGGTGGAGTTCTTTCAAGTTACAGAGCACTAGCCTTTTTTGCATGTGTACTCGAGTGTTTCCCACCTTCACACTCACATAGTCCTTTTTCCCTGGCATTTGTCGGCTGCTAATATCATCTTCTTCATAAAAGTCTTGAATAAGTTTCACAGTTTCAGCTAAAAATAAAAAGGAACAATTATTTAATAATAATAAAAATGTTTAAAAAGATTTCTATTTCTAATACCAACCTGGAAGTGAATGTCCTTTTCTAGGTTGAGGATTGGGAAGGATTCCCTGCTCAGTCACCAGAGTAGAAGTTTTTCTGATCATGTACTCTGTGGCACCTAATGGTGAAAATTCTGACAGAGTATCTCTAATAGTCATTGAGCAAAGAGCAATTGATAGCACACCCAGTTTGTCCTTCAAATTATCACAGACACTAAACTTTCTTTTAAGTGCTTCTAGTACCTTTTCATACTTGAATTTGTATGAGTCAATGTTTGGCACAATGAAGCCTGCATTGTGAAATAAAGTCAAATACCTCTCATTT